CTGCTGCTGATTCAAACTCATGGCAACCCTCCATCAGGCTTCCAAGGTTTAAATCTTTACAGGAGGAGACTCCCCACTTTTATCCCAGGGAGTGAGTGGCTGTTGGATTCAAAATGACAAACTTTCGGTTTAGCAGCCCAACACGTAATTGTGCTATGTCACCAGGACTACCTATGCTTTAAAGGGAGTATCAAGTATTCACCTGCTTAAATAACAACAAATTTCAATTCAGCTTATGTATGAGGACCAACAAAATGTGTTTCAGTCTGTAGTTTCAAAAGTAACATTTTTAGTGTCACCTGAAGTTTTTCAGGTTTCCATTGTTTGGTGCTGTCAAGTGGAGCACGACTCATAGCAACGATATGACAACAGACCTGAACCCTGTCCTACCCTGCCCCATCCTCATTATAGCCTGACGCCGTGGAGCCCACTGCTGCAGTCTCCATGTCAATCTATCTCATTGAGGTTTTTTCTCTCTTTTGTCAACACTCTACCTCTCTGAATCTGACGTCCCTCTCCAAGGGAACAGCTTTTCCAAGCAATATGTCCAAAGTATGTGAGATGAAATTTCATCATTTTTCCCTCCAAGGAACACTTTTGTACTTCTCTGAGACATACTTGTCTGTTCTTTTGGCAGTTCATGGGCTATTCAGTATTCTTCTCTAGTACTACAACTTAAAGGTACAGATTCTTCTTCTGTCATCCTTATTCACTGTCCAGCTCTCAGTAGTACAGCAAGTGAATGAAAAACCGTATCTGAGTCCAGCACATCTAAAACTTCAAACTGACATTCTCTCTCCTCAGTAATTTGGAGAGGATCCTGACCGTAGACATTCCTAGTCCAACATTTCCTGACCACTGGTACCAAGGGTGTGGACTGGGGATACAATTAAGATTAAGTCACTGACAGTTTCAATTTTTTTTTCTCCATCTATTGATAAGGAGTGTGCTGTCAGACTGCAGGCATGTGGTTTAAATCCACCAGCTGCTCCACATGAGAAAAATGGAGCATCTCCTCTTGTGTTTACTCTGAAAACTTGCTAGAAGGTCAGCCATGGGCTGGTACTTAATGGTACATAAAACACCACCACCAACAAAAACAACAGTCATGATGTCCAGAGCTGACAATTTTTTGTTTTCACATTGAGATGCAACATATTGAAGGATGCAGTCTTTCTTTTATACCTCATGTCCTCTTCATTTCAGAAAGCAAAGTTGTGTTATCTGAATAACGCAGGTGGTTGCTGAGTCTTCTTCTGATCCTGATGCTGCATTTTTCTTCAGAAAGGTCAGCTTTCTGAATGATTTGTTCTGCATACAGATTTAATAGGTATGGAAAGAAGACACTGGCCTGATGCATACCTTCCTTGAACTTTTACTTTAATAACTTATTTTAAAGATTCACTTTACAAATGCTGGGGTAATCTCTAACTGGAAATTCTGAAACTGGAAACACTGAGTGGAGGAAAAAAGAACATGCTTCACTCTTGTGATTTTTCTCTTCAAAAGCATGTTTTGGAAAGCAGAACTCAACTGATATCCTCAGTGTCTGTTCTGCAAAGAATGTGCCTACACTGAAATCTGAAATTATAGCACACATCTGAAAGATCTCACTAGACAGTGAAATCACACAGAAATGGCTTTCAAAGGTTACTCCCACAGTAATTTTAAGCTGTCCATGTTAAGTCCCTTTAAGGGACAGTGAGCACGCGGCATCCTCAGCACAATGCCAGCCTCAATGAATCTTTGCTCCCTTTTTTTCACTCCAGTAAAATAATTTCTAGTCAGGGCATCACAAATGTTTTTTTCTAAATATTCCCAAATGAAATGCTAACCTATTTCACTCCTGTTAACTCACTGTCATTAAATTCCGTTGTCAGAACCAACTCATAGCTAACCTTTCGAGTTTTCAGAGGCTGTCAATCTCTCACCTGTGAATTTAAACCTTCTGGGTTGACAGTACAAATCTTTAACCACTAGGCCAAAAGAGATCCCCTTCTCCTGTTAAAATAGTACTTCATAGTCTACCATAAGTGAATATACTTAAGAGCATACTGATCAGATGACTTCAGCACTCATTTACATTCTGTAGCTAACTCTCCAGTGTTTAGAATAGAAGCTCATCTTTCTTCTCAGCTTAAAGTATCCTAGGTTGATGATGTGAGGGAGAAGTCAGGTGTGACTTCACTGTTGCTCCTTCAATATTTTCAGAACTATAAGCAGTCTGTATGCTTGAAAATTTAGGATGCAGTCAAGATGATTTTTTTTTTTCACAGTTTTGGGGTTTATTAGGGAAATAGATTGAAGAGTAGAGGAGGAAAAGAATATCACACAATGCAAGTCCAGGTTCAGTCCAGCAGTCCCAAGGCAGATTAACAAGGCACAATTCCTCAATAGTGGAAGTCCAGGTTCAGTTCAGCAGCACAAATGCACCTCTGGTTTCCTTAGTCATTTAGCAAACTCCTAGTTTTGTTGATAGTTTCAATTGTTTTTCTGTTTTCTATTTCATTTATTTCTGCTCTTGTTTTTATAATTTCAGTTTTTTTAAAGGGTGTCGGGTTTTCTTGTTGTTCTTTTTCAATTTGCTGGAGATATTGGGTTAGAGAGTCAATAGTCTGTTTTTCCTGTCTTTTGATGTGTTTGCTTATTGCTATAAGTTGACCTCTGATTACTGCTTTGGCTGCTTCCCAGAGGTTTTGGCAAGTGGTGTTTTCATTGTCATTAGTTTCAAGAAACTTTTTAATTTCATTTTTTATTTCTTCTACTACCCAGTCATGTTCAAGCAAGGTGTTGTTCAGCTTCCAAATGTATGTTTTTTTCTCCTTTATCATCCTATTATTAATTTCTAATTTTATGGCATTATGGTCTGACAAGATGGTTTGTATTATTTCTACGTTTTTGAATCTACTGATGCTTGCCTTGTGACCTAGAATGTGATCTATTCTAGAGAATGTTCCATGCACTTTGGAGAAGAAGGTATACTGTGCTTTTTTGGGGTGCATTAGTCAAGATGATTTTTTAAAGAGACAATACTTAAACCACAGAATCTTTCATGAACTTGGTCAGTAACTTCTGAGAGGAAAAACACACTTCACAAACTTTTCTTCTCCTCGCTTTTTTAGACAGAAGCAAATTTAAGAGTTGTTTCATAGCTAATGAATGATGCTGACAAGATAGATAAAAAAGTTTTAAGTGGAGGAACCAGGATCTGAACCATCTGATGACTTTGGTACTACTGCCCACTGCTCACTGATCATGTTAACTCCTACGCAAAGTACAACTGAGTAAAACAGAACATTAGGCAACACAAGGATTGTTTCATTACACATAAGGGATGGTGCATGCTGGCCTGTCCCTTTGAGCCTGACCTGTACACTACAGGAATCCTTCAGTGATTAAAACTGCTTCCCCCACACCAGGCCAGGTGACATTCCATGTCCCTTTGATTTTCTGGCACTACTCCACCTGAGCAGAGTTCCAGGGAAATAGGGGGCCCATAGACTGCCTCTCAACTTACGTTCTCTTTTCCAATTTTCATCCTAAGATTTCTACCACTCTCCATCTTCCAAGGTGCACCCACATTACTTCAATCAAAATGCTATGACTTTGGCAAGATAATATTCCCCGTTAAGGTGGTCCAGTATTCTACAGCAAATTTAGAATCACTGGCTCCTAGGTAGTAAGATTTTGTTTTTGTTTTGTTTTTAATTGATGAAAAAGTTGTTTGGGGGGGGGCGGGAAGGGCATGAAAAAGAATGCCCATTCCCCCAAACAGATAAATTTTGGAAAGCAAAAGGTTCCCACCTGAAGGTGTTACTGCTCATGATATGGTGCCTTAATAAAGGAAAAATCTTCCTTGTTCTGTGCTTCAAATGCCCATGCATCCTGTAGAAATTCACAGTGAACACAGAGCAGCAAAATCCATCTCTCAATCTGACATCTGAGGGAAGTGGCTCCACATTTAAAGTCTTTTCATTGAAAACATTTTTAAGAACATTGCATATAAAGATGAAGTAACTGCAAAACAATGTAGTAACTAACCCCAGATCTGTTTACAGTACACTGATATGTGGAATTCAGACCTATGAGACTGACCGCCACGTATGCTGATCAGCTCACACACATCAGAAAGCTCTGCATTATGACAGATGAGTATCCAGCTTGATTCCACACAGCTGTCACTCTTGGATGAGCACATACTATGAGGCTGTCTGCTGGGGTCGGAGTCAATTTGTTTCACTTCCAACTTGTACTTCCCATCCGCACATCATGGACAGTAATGATAAGTTTTACCTGGTTTGAAAGCTATCTGCCAGACTTCTGACCACTCTGAAATCTCTGGCTTGGAATACGGTGAATGGCTGGACAGAAGTTCCCACCCCCTAAATATACTGTATGTGTTGGTGGGAACCCCGAAGTTGAAGGCTCTCTTCTTTCTCTGATTTCCCTACTTCATGATGTGATACTGGGGATGGAGCGCCCAGGGTCTGGCATCTCTAGTCATCCCCGTTCATGTGAACTCTGTGAGAATGACTACGGTGGAGGTGGGGAATGCTTGGGCATGAAGGACCCCATTGTGACCGTGTCAAGCCAGCAGGAGGTCCCACACTCCAAGCCCTGCAGAGTGGGGCTACCCAGCATGAGGGAGGAGCTGTGTGTGAAGGCTTGCCCACATTCCTGGCACTTGTATGGCTTCTCCCCTGTGTGGACCCTACAGCGCTGAGTGAGGTGGGTGCTCTGCTGGAAGGACTTGCCACGGTCCTTACACTCAATAGGGTTTCTTGCCTGTGTGTTTCCTCTCGTGCTGGCTGAGCAACAAGCTATAATTGAAGGACTTGTTGCAGTCATTGCAGCCATAAGGCTTTTCCTTGGTGTGAATCCGCTGGTGCTCTGTTAGCAGGGAGCTCTGACTGAAGATGCGGCCACACTTGTGGCCGTGTGGGTGCGCTGGTGCTGGAAGAGGGGTGTGAACTGGCTGAAGGTGTGGCCACACTGGCCGTATGGCTGTCCTGGTGCTGGATGAGGGGCGAGAGCTGGCTGAAGGCTCAGCCACACTTGTGGCCATGTGGCCGCGCTGGTGCGAGCTGTCTGAAGGCTCGGCCGCACTCATGGCACTCGGCGGGCCTCTCCCCTGTGTGGATGCGTTGGTGCTTGGAGAGAGACGAGCTGTGGCTGAAGGCCTTGCCGCAGTCGCTGCACTGGTAGGGCTTTTCCTGGTGTGGATGCGCTGGTCCTGCGTGAGGTGTGTGCTCTGCTAGAAGGCCTTTCCGCACGCATAGGGCTTCTCACCTGTGTATGTGCCCTGGTGCTGGTTGAAGGATGACAGGAAGCTGAAGGCCTTCCTACACTCGCTGCATGCTAGGGCTTCTCGCCCGCGTGTGTGCGCTGGTGCTGGACCAGTGGGGTCACCTGGTGGAAGGTCTCCCCACACTGGGGGTATGGGTAGGGTTTCTCGCCGGTGCAGATATTCTGGTGTTTGATCAGCGTCAAGTTGTTGTGGAAGCTTTTCCCACACTCGTCACACCCGTAAGGCCTCTTTCCAGTATGCGACCGGTGGTGGCTGGTGAGTGCTGAGCTGTGGCCAAAGGCCTTCCCACTGTCCTGACATGCATAGGGCTTGGGGCATGCATAGGTTTTCTGCAGAGCGTCTGCATCTGGTTTCTCTCTATTTCCTAGTGCTCCCAATAAACAGGAGTCTTGTTTTTCCGGAGTCATCCGCTGAGTCAGGCTTTCCTCAGCCCCAATCCTGGGCAGCTGCCCCAGGCCAGGCGTCCCTGGGGAGGCCCACAGGAGGGGCCCTGTAAGGAGGGCCTGCCCTAGAGCCGAAGGGTCTACTTTGCAAGCCAGAATCTTAGAGTTGCAACTGACTCATAGCTGTCTTTGTTTCCAAGGCTGTAAATTACAAAGGATGAGAAGTGACTGCTGGGTCCCGCCAGCAGAACAAAGGTCCCGGCCATGAGCTACCAGATCTGGGTCTTGGTAGTAAGTTCTAATAAGCACTTCCCTAATGCTGGTCACTGTGGCAACTACAGAAGCCAGTTTTCTCAATGCTGTTTAGGGCGGTGATACCACTATTGCCTCTACGAGTTCTTTCTTCACTACCATTTAACAAAGAGAATAACTTAACACTTGTACCCTTAAAACTGAGGTGGAGAGTCAATGCCAGCTTTGGCATGTTTTGCATCCCTGAGATTTAACTGTCGGATTTACTGCAGTTGCGAGGTGCTGTTCAGCTGACTCTGGCTGAGACCCCACGTACAGCAGATTGACATCTTGCGCAATCTTGTGCCATACCGACAATCTTGTGCTCAAGTCCACTGCTGCAATGACTGTGTCACTCCTGCTTGTTGAAGGTGTTAGTTTCCTTTTCTGACCTTTTAACTCTCTAAGCATGTTGTCTCTCCTCAGGACTGGGCCCCCTGACAACATTACTAAAGTGCATGAGATACAGGCTCAATAAGCTTTGCTTCTAAGGAGCACTCTCACTGCATGCCTTCCAAGACAGGTCTGCTGCCAAGTCAGACTGTGGTACATCCAATGTCTGTCAATGAACGCAGTGTAGTACAAACACAAGCACTGGAAAAAGCTAATAAAAATACTAGCTAATTTAGAGTGTACTAAAAGGTAATGCTTTCCAAATACTTTCTTGTGGCCTCTCCATATTTCCTTTCAGGAGGGAGGTCCATCCATTTGGGATGCAACTTTCTAATATATAGCTATCTTTACTATCATTCTTTTTCTTTTTTTAAAAAAAAACAACCAAAGAATCTGCAAGGACTCCCTGCCAAACTCCCAAAGATCTTCCTGCACAAACAAGACAAGTCCACAGGGAACTGAACTGCTAAAGCAAAGCCTGAGCCTCACTAATAGTCTGAAGCCACCAGCAGCCGTGCAGGAGAAAGCCAGGTCATCTCTTGTGCAAGTTACTGCCTCAGAATCTGAAAGAGTGGTCTACTATGAGTTGACAGCAATGAGTGAGTGACTAACAGCTAATGGCTTTAATGTGATTTTTGTTGTTAAAGGTCCCTTTGTGGCCTCTGCCCATTTCATAATGGTGGTGGTGGTGGTGGGGTCCTTGGTTAGTTTGTTCTTTCTTATTGGAGTTTCCTATCAATTTTTATAGGTAAATTCCTATTTCCATAAGGCATCAAACAATAACATTATAATTCATATTAACTGATAGTGGAAGGAAATCATTTGTATGCAGCAATGTGTGTGAGAGGTAAATTTATGACCACAGCACTGGTGGGATTGTGTTTAGTGGATACGGGTAAATTGATCTATTGTTCATGGGATCATTGGAATTCTTAGCTGACTCCACCACATGGAACTTCACTTTTTCTGGGCCAAGATTCTCAGTGGTTTGACAGAACACAGTCTGGATTATTGTACCTTATGCTGTGTACAGTGATGGAGTGAGTGCTCATTTTATAATCTAACATAATCCCATCCAAGATAAGATCTTGTGGTCTAACGTAATCCCATGTAAAACAGCATCCTGTTTTCTGGTATAATTTATTCCCTCCCAGATTAGATATGCTGTCAAGTAGCCAATAGGATGAAAGAGTTTATCCTCAGTCATGTGACCTATATCGTATATAAAAAGCCTGGCCAAAGTCCAATTTGCTTGTTTTGGGTCTGGCTGTTCGTCCTGTGTGCTCTGGTCCTAGGACGGTGAGAACTTCTAGAACCATTACCAGCGTATCTTGAGATTTGACAGTCTTTGGGGCTACTGAGTCAGCCGACCTTTGTTCATCAAACCCTGGAACTACGTGACTTGGGAGTCACTGCTCGGACAACCTCTGATCGACCGACTTGGGGCCCTGCAGCCCCTACAACCACACATTCAAGTCAGCAGAAACCGAGTCTCACAACTTGAGTCTCTGAGAAATCTGCCAACCATGGCTTTCAATCTCAGGAGATCCTCTCGACGTCAACCAGCAAGGCATGATCCCAGATCAGACAATCAGGAGGTTGAACCCTCCCCAGGACTTAGTAGTGGAGAGAACCTCTCTGAAAACAATAGTACCAGTACAGACAACCAAGAAATTGTGCTACATATAATCCCAGAAGAGAGCTTGCCCACACCCGAAGCTGGAGGTCCTGCTGCAGACAATCCAGAAGATGCCAGAAGAGCTGATGCAGGCACCCACACAGCTCTGGAACAGCCTCGAGGAGAAGGCCCTCAAGATATTAACATAAACGTTGAAAAGGAAAGTTGTTCAAGTCGGGAAGCTGACTCAGCAACTCCTGAGCCTCCTCCCTCTGCTCACCAGACTAATCAGGGACAACCCTCACGTGAGGAACTCCAAGAAAAAGTTCCAAAATCCTCAAAACCACTCACATGTGAAGAATGCCTCAGGGTCTTCACATATCCCTCTCAGTTAAAATACCACAAAAGACGACACAAGAACGAGAGGCCCTATGTCTGTACCACGTGCCCCAAAAGCTTCTTCCAGAAATCAGACCTGACAGTGCACCTGGTGACTCACAGGAGTGAGAAGCCTTTCAAATGCAGCTTCTGTGGCAAAGCCTTCAGCCACAGAACCAACTGGCTGTCTCACGAGCGGATCCACACAGGAGCCAAGCCCTACAAGTGCTCTGCTTGTAGAAAGTGTTTCCGCCAGTCATCCACATTCCATCGCCATGAGAAGACTCACCAGCGTTAACTCAGAAGTGTCCCCAACACTCCAGAAGATCCCTGACCTGATTTTGCCATTGTGTGTCTGTGTAAGTGTGAGGAAGATTTGTTAAATAGTGTACAACAGACTATAGAGATGTCAAGGTTGAGATCCTCACACAAGACTTGACTTTCACGGGCTTTACTGTGTATTTTCTAGTACTATGTATTTAGAACATGCTATACGATTTCTTTATGATTATGTTTATCGCTTTACTGTACTAGAACAAATGTAAAGAAGGTGAAGAATCTGTCAATTTTATTTAATAGAGAGGATCACAAATGACTGTGACATTTTCAACTAACAAACACCCATGGAATAAAAAACAAACAAATACTTTCTTGTGCTTTAGTTTAAAACATACATAACAAATTAGATTTCTAACCAGCAATTAGGATGCAGCTGTCACATGTGATCGACCTCCACATGTACCAGCCCTCTCTCCTCCTCTCTTGGTTTCCCATTTCCACTGTTGGGTGTCCCTGTCTTTTCCTGTCTTCTCATCTTTGGTTTTTGACAAACGTTGCCTTTTTGGTCTTACGTATTTGTTCTAAGGAGCACATTCAGTTTTCTTTTTAGAACAGGTTACTGTTCATTTTAGAGGCCCATCTATTCATTAGCTGAGAGAGCAGCATCTCCAGAGGTGCTTTTAGTTTCAAGTCAGAGTGAAAGATAAAAGGCACGATTATAGGATTAAGGAAAGTCTTCCTAAATTGTGCATCAACAGTAGGGGGGGAAAAAATCACAGAATTATCTCGTCATTGTTGTCCTGTATTATCAAGTCAGAGCTGACTCACAAGTGAATAGATGACCCTCTATCGAGTTTTCAGAGATAGTACATAGACACTGCTCATCTTTCTCCCAAGGAGCAGCTAGTGAACTTGAACTCCATGCCTTTGGGTTGACAGTGTAACTCCATATCATTAAGTCACCAGAGCTCCTACACAGTTGTTAGCTGCCATCAGGTCCATTACAATTCAAAGTGATCCTATAAACAACAGATTGAAACCTTGTCCTTTTTGGCACCCTCCTCACAAAATCCAGCTCGTTCAAGCCCATTGTCACAGTCACTGTGTCAGTCCATTTCATTGAGGGTGTTCTTTTACACTGACCCTACAATTTTCCCAGCATGGTATCTTTTTTCAAGGGCTGGCCTCTCCTGACAACATGTGCAAACTATGTGAGATCAAGTTTCCACATCCTTACTTCCAAGAAGCACCCTGGCTGCACTTCCTCCAACCAGATGTGTGTGTTCTTTGGGCAGTCCATGGGATATTCAATACTCTTCACCAACACCACAATGCAAAGGCATCAATTCTTCAGACTTCCTTATTCACTGTCCAACTAGTGGATGCAGAGAAGTCACCTGAACATACCATGGCTTGGGTCAGGCACATTTGCGTTTTTAAAGTGATATCCTTGCTTTTTAGCACTTTAAAGAAGTTCTTGATGGTAGGTTTACCCAAGTCAACACATCTTTTGACTTTTTTTTTTCACACAGAAACGTCTTTTATTTTTCTCAGAATCTTAGTCACGCCACAGTAATGATCATAGCATGCAGCCTCTCCTTTCCTTCCCTATCACCTAAAGTTCTTTCTTTGAGAATAGAGTTAAGGATCAAGTTAAAAATCCACATTTGAAGTTAAATATGGTCTGTAGATAACATGATCTTAAATCCACACTGACATTACTTTTCCTGTGTTTCTCCAGATTTAACCTACGTAAGATTCCCAGAACCTAATCAAATAGTAAAATCCCAAGTTGATCAGTGTTTATCTTTCAGCTCAGTTATCATATAACTGCTACATGATGTAAATGTATGGATGGGAAAAATTTCAAGTACAAAATGCTTAGCTCTGTGTCATAAATAAATCTGGATAAAATCACAAGCCTTCCACGGAGTCATCTCGGCAAAGGTGGCCCATCTTCTCTGCAAGAAGCAACCTTTCTTTGGCAAGAAGGACAGACATCCCCACAAGCTTGGCAAACTCCTCTGATGTTAAGGATCCTTTTTCTGAAACCGTCTCCAGGGCCGAGGCCACCATTTCCTCTTTCTTGTGGGACTGAAGCTCAATGACCATGACACCACTGTCAAAAACTCAGAGCCTGAGAGGTAATTTCAGCGCATCTAGCATCTTGCACGCGTTCACCAAATCTTCTGGTGAGAGCAATTCCATTCCTCGAGCACGGTTAACTAAGCAGTACACCTCTGTAAGTGACATTATTCCCCCTCGTTCCTCTAAAGGCACCTGCAGTATTCCAACCGTTTGGCCAGCTGCATGTGGTACTGGGTGCCTGAGCCATCGGTCTCCCTGGTAACGGGATTAGCTATCCCCATGCTCAACAAGTAGGATTTAAACCTGATGGTCTCATCTTCTGTGATGTCACCTTGTTTGTCTTTTATTTTATTAGCAATTGATTTTGATAACTCTACCATCTCCTTAGCCTTGATCATGAGCTTGCTGAGGTCTTCAAAGGCCTCAGAAATATTTTTGTCAGTTTCTTTTCTTTTTTCTTCTAGTTTCCTTTCAATGCCTACAATTCCTACAGCCCTTATTCTTCCTGGCTGGGGTCCTCTATTTGCTTGGAATGACTGGGAAACGGGCATATTCTCCCATCTTCTCTGTGTCATTTCCTCTGACAAGCGTCTGTAAAACTCAATCTGACCATGTTCTTTGAAGGAGAGTTTGATGTAAGAATTCTTACTGCTCTGGAAGGGACCAGGTTCCTTATTAGCAGGTGCTGGATAGAGATGAACCATTATTTTGGCACTCTTCCCAATTCCAGCTGCCTGCTCTTCAATGAACACAATTCGAGAAAGAGGAATGGCCATGCAGCATTCATGATTCCTCTGATCTCTCCAAATCAGTCGATGTGTACTAAGAATAAGGGTCCCAGCATCAAATTTGATCTTCTCCTCACCGTCGTAGATGCGCACCCCGCGCTGCTGGATCACTAGGGTCTCATTGATCTCCAGGAGGCCGCTGGTCCACAAGAACCGGTCCATGGCCGCCCCACCCCCGGCCTCCCTCTTTTGACTTCTTGACTGTTGTTACCCTATGTGCTGATTGTGGATCCAAGTGAGAAGAAATTCTTGACAGTTTCAATCTTTTCTCCCTCTATCATGATGCTGCCTATTGATTGGGCCAGCTGTCAGAACTTTTGTTTTCTTGATGTTAAGGCGAAATGAATATTGAAGGCTGTAATCTTTGATTTTTTTCACTAAGCAGTGTATTGTCACTTTCTGCAGGCAGGATTGTGCCATCTGTGTAACGTAGGTTGTTGAAGAGTCTTCATCTAATCCTGTTCTACATTCTTTCTCCATCAGCCAAGTTCTTGAATGATTTGCTCAGCATACGGACTGAATAGGTTAGAGATGACACAACACTGATGCACACCTCTGCTCATCCTAAGGCATGCAGTATTCCTTTTCTTTTGACTGAGTGCTTCCTGGTCTATGTTCAGTTTTTGCATTAGCAGAGTTCCACAAAACAGCATGATTTAGATGTAACCGAGGTGGGTTCAGACACTCTCCACTTGGCTTTTATTAAGGCAAACCTGGAAATCGCCCCAAATTGTTGGTGCTGAGTGTTCCAAGAAATTGCAACACAAGGGAAGTGTTATGAAAACAACACTTCAAAGTCGTTGTCCAGAGGCAGGAAATGAAAGCATAAAGGCTCTGGCTCTTCATATCTTTCTCTAATTCCTTTCTAATCAGATGAATGGGTGCACAAATGCAGAATGTTGGCCATAAACTTTTTCTTTTCCATCTGTATAACTACTTTCATTCCTGTAAAATCATCCCCCTACGCTTGATATTTTGGAATAGATTATTCTTCTGCATATTCTACCAAGAGGGAGAGAGAGGCTGGTACAAAGTATTGAAGATGAACTATAAGCCTGATTCAGAATACCTACTGAAGGTAGCCTTTTAGAAGACAATACAATGAAAATTAGTATGGTGTGTTGGAGGGCAGAACTATTCTGCAAAGAAAAACTTAAAATGGCACCACTGTGTTATTAAAGTCTGAACAGATTCTTCATGTTCACTGAAGATTCCAAGATGGAATTAAAATATCCTAATGGTCTCTGAATGAACACAGTATCACTGCACAGCAAAAACTTTTTTGACATTCTTAGAGAAAATTTGCTTTCTAGGAGACTGGAATCTGAAATTCTGAACATCAAATATGGTTATATATTTTTCTGCGTGAACACTTTTTGCTGATATAGAAGGGAGGCTTGGTTCATTTGAAAAGGAAACTGTATCTCTCACTTTAAAAGGGAAGACGTTGCGTGGGGAATGTGTGCCCAGGGTAGAAGTATGAGGAAGGTTAGACTCGTACCAGGACTTAAGCACGATGTTTCTGAACGAAATAAGCCTTAGGTAAACAGAACATTCTTTACATGTGCAAGCATATCCTTTAAGAGTAAGAATTGCTAGGATTCTGGACTCTGCTTATTCAGGAAATCAGAGTTCCAAAAATAACTTTTACTTCTTCCAAGTAAGGGGAAGCTAGGCTGCAAGAGGCATTTAAAGTTGATACTTGCAGCAATAAAAATATTCCCCAAGTAACCAGGGTTTTCTAAAGCTGAATGAAACCCAATCATGTGCTGCATCTTCATTTAGAACTGCTACCTATTTATCTTTTAAAATAAATACGCACATCTATAAAATTCTAAATACAACACGCCAATTGTTTCCACTGTGCATTATTTAGTCTCTATACACAATATTTGGAAGCAGTAGTAGCATCCACTTCCTAAACAAAGTATCTCTGGAAACCCTATGAACTCTGACAAATGATGATTGTTGTAGAGGGGCTTCAGACCTTTTGTTCGTAGGGTTGCTATGAGTTGTGCTTGACTCGACAGCAATCAACAACAACAACAGCAATGTACACAATATATTATCAAATTCAATGACAAGAACAACTCCAATTTTGAGAAAGATGCTAAGTTTGATGTTCACTACGTGAAAGATCTAA